CTCCCAGTATGTGAGAGGGGGCAGGCTGGGCTGAGGGACCCCCCCCCCAACACACACCCACCCAGTGCACTAATTTCGTGCACCGGGCCCCTAGTATAGTATAATTAAACAACTAGGTACTGCTAAGGGCTAATCTGCTTTGCTCTGTCTGTATGAATCATTAGCATACCAGTGATCCCTTCCTGCAATGGCATCTGGGAGGGCTTACATTCTACCTGCCTTACGGGATGCATTTCTTATGTTTAAGAGAGAGCACTACAGATGAGCAACTGAAAAGATGCCCAACATCATTAGCCATCAGGGAAATGTAAACCAAAACCACGATGAGACAGCACCTCACACCCACCTGGATGGCTACAGTTAAAAAGACAGACAACAACAAATGTCAAGGGTGTGGAAAAACTGGAACCTCATAACTTCTGGCGAGAATGTAAAATGGTACGACCACTTTGGAAAAGAGTTTGGCAACTCCTCTAAATGTTAAAAACAGAGTTACCATACGATCCAGCAATTCCACTCCTAGGTACATACCCAAGAAAAATGAGCGCATATGTCCACATAAGAACCCGTATAAGAATGTTCACAACAGCATTATTCAGAACAGCTAAAAAGTGAAACAACCCAAATGTCTATCAACTAATGAATGCATAGGTAAAATCCTATATAATAAAAGCCTAATATGCAAATTGTCCCCTCAGGCAGTCATTTGACTGGGACTTCAACCGCTCACTATGTCATGCTCTGACCACCAGGGTGCAGTGCGGAACATGGCGGAACATGGCGGACATCGGCGACTTCTCTCTGGCTACCTGGGGGCGAGGGTGATGGGGATGGAGGTGTGGTGAGAATGCAGGGTGTCTGCTGAGCTCACTCTCATTCCCCCTGCTACCCTCCCCCGGGACAACAGGGCTGTGCACTAGGGAAGCCCCCACACTCAGGTGTCGGGTGCCCATGAGGAGCCTGCCCAGCACCCACACAGCATCTTCCGGGTGAGCTGGGCCACAGCCGCCAGGACCACAGGGGCCAGTTGGGCTCCCCGTGGGTTTGCACAGAAGCCCATCTGCAAGGCTGGCTAGGAGAGAGCGCGCTGCCTGCTCGGCTTCCATGCAGTGCTGCTGGGCGGCCCAGAGGCCCACGCTGTGCCCTGGCCCACAGTGTCCGCCATGCTCACCGCACCTACATGTGGGGACTCAGGTGCTGTGACTGAGGCAGAGGGGAGCGTGCAAGGGCCTGGGGGCCCAGGTGCTGCCCAGGGCCCACAGGTCAGCTGGGTCCTGCCCTTCCACGCCAGACGTTCATACTTTGATGGCCGGCCAGGCCTAGGGACCGCACCTGTGAACAAATTTCATGCACTGGGCCTCCAGTGTCTTATATCCATACAGTGGAATACTATTTGGTAATAAAAGGGAACAAAATGCTGGTGCAGGCTGCAACATGGATGAACCTTAAAAATATCCTAAGTAAAGGAAGCCAGTCACAAAAAGACCTATTGTATAATTCCATTTATATAAAATGTCCCAAAGAGGGAAATCTATAGAAACAGGAAGTAAATGAGTGATTGCCAGGGGCTGGGGAACAGGGAGAATGGAGACTGACTACTAATGGCTATGGAGTTCCTTTTTTGGGCGATGAAACCTTTTAAAATGAAATATTAATGATAGCTAAACAATCCTGTGCATATACTAAAAACCACTGACTATAAACAATTAATTATATGGTATGTAAACTATATCTATTAACATATATGAGAGAGAGAGAGAGAGAGAGAGAGAGAGAGATATCACACTTAGTCGAGTCATTCACCATACTTACCATTCGCAGGTTCTGAGTTGTTCTCGTCTCGACCGCTCTGAGGAGCTCTCTGAACCTCCCCACTCCTCTGGTCAAGTTCCTGTGTGCACACAGAATTTGACAGGGTTTCCATCTGGCGTGTATTAACATCAAATGTTTCATACACATATTTCAATGCATTTTATCTACATAAAAGCTGTTGGCTATATTTTAATCAACAATTATTCTGAATGTGCCTGTCCATCTTCGTTCAGATCTCCAAAACATGACCTAGGATGGATGGATTTTTGTGTTTCTGCAACCAAATTTTCTCACAAAAACAAAAGTTGGAAAATCAATTCTGAGGCTCCCTTCTCCCCGCCCCTCAAAAGCAAGATATCTTGCCAGAGTCTATCTTCATCCTTACGTGGCTCCGTGGTTTTCCTGCTCTGCTGAGTGGAGCTGAAATCTGTCTTTTCATCTAAAAGGTGGGTGGCAACTGGGCCACAGAAATATCCACAAGGCACCGCATGCAGTGTGGGGAAAGGCTACTTGTAACTTGCCATTTTTATGGGCGAGACAGAGAGAAAAGGTGTGAGAAATGAGGGGCTCCACAAGCAACCACCGCTGCATCTTTGCAAACATAAATTACCGCCCAATAAATCCATCAAATGCTCCCCCACCCCCGCCTCCAAGCCCGCGGGGAAGCCAAGGGTCAGAGGCCCCTTCTGGGAGCAGCTGTATGAGCACGGAACCTGAGCTGCCGGGTGGCTCAGAGCACATCGCATCCCGCTGCCCCACACACCTCACAGAGGCGTGTTTGGTGACACATTTCATTAAGGGACAAATGATTCCTGAGTAACATCCTGGTCAATATATCCAGGCCCCACTTGTCCTCGCTGAAAGCTGCGCCCGGCTGCTCAGCTGGCGCACTCCCCAGCCGGTCCCTTTACACTGAGCGCCGCTACCACCTATGACATAACTCGGGGATATTTATAACCTGCTCATTAGGACACATCTCATCTTTCCAAGACGCCGCAGAGCCGGTCAGCCGGTGCAGACCTGTCAGCCAGCCCCGCGGGCTGTGGCAGATGCTCCAGGCATTCGGCCCGCTTCTTGGGTGACATTTTAAATTGCACAAAGGTATTAAATCAAACTGAGTGTGGGTTCTGTACATTACAAACACCCGCAAGGGCTATCAATTCTCCTCTTCTACCTACATGACATCCCAGAACGCTCGTTCACAAGAACGGCCCCAGAACTTCGCTCGGTTTATTGGCACGGGTACATGAAGACTCCCATCTCCCTCTCACCCACACGGGTCGGGTGGTAGCAGATCAGTGTTTTACGGGGGCACAGAAAGGGAAGCGTGTGCTCAGGACTCGAAGCAGCGCGGGAGGAGATCTAAGAGACGGGGTAAGCATCAGGTAACAGGCCTGGGGACATGCAATCTCCTTTGCTTTCCCCTTCGTTAGTTTTTATGGGATCCGTGTTCTCAGGCAACAAAGTGCATTTGCTCTTGGACTGAAGCTCGGTTCTCGTAAGTAACGTGGGGGAAGGAGACAGCGACAGCTAAAACACGGACGGGCCGGAAGGAGTCGTCTGTTTTATTCCAGAACCACTGATTAAGCTCCCATGATGTACGAGGCACAAAAGCGGTGGCATTTTGAACTGTACGACAGGGGTGGGACTGAGACGACACAATGGGAGACCCAGGTCTCGAGGGCTGTTTCCCAGGGTGGAGATCAGGCCTTGCACGGGCAGCATCAACCCTAAACACTGTAACTCAGGGAAGGCTGCAAGATGGGAACTGGTCACTCAGAATGAACCCGCGTCCTCCTTGCAGAAGGAGTGACTTATCGAGGCAAAAACACAATATTCTAGCTGTAATGAGCTAACACTGTCTCCTCATTATGACACGGAAGGGACATGGCTTGCTCAGGTTCCCAGACCCGGCAAGAGAGTGAGCCGGGAGCTCTGTCACCTTCCTGGGCAAAAGAAACGTAGGTTCTCAAAATGAAGTACAGCTCAGGAGAAAGCACGGACTATGAGATCAAGAGCTCAGGCCTGCCGAAACCAGTTTGGCTCAGTGGATAGAGCGTCGGCCTGCGGACTGAAGGGTCCCAGGTTCGATTCCGGTCGAGGGCATGTACCTGGGTTGTGGGCACATCCCCAGTGGGAGATGTGCAGGATGTTTCTCTCTCATCGATGTTTCTAACTCTCTATCTCTCTCCCTTCCTCTCTGTGAAAAATCAATAAAATATATTTTTTAAAAAAAGAGCTCAGGCCTATGTTTTGTGTCATTAATATGCAAATTACTTAATATATATAGATACACGGCACACGGTATTAATTTCATGCATTCCAGAGATGGCAGCCAATGAGATACTTCTAGGCACCGGTTCACAATTGGAGAAAATCTGTTGGCCCAGGTGAAGCGGCCCAGCGCCCAGGGCAATGCCTCCACCACGACCTTAAAGGAGAAGGATGGATAAATTGACCTCCCCTCGAAGGCGGAGGTGGCTCTCCCGTGCAGGACCGAGGCCCTCTGGTGGAGGCTGGAGGAAGTCCCTTGGACCAAGGGGCAGTCACACATCGTAAGGGGAAACGAGGGCCTATTCCCAAAGCACTGACGTTACCTTGGAAGCAGATACAAGTTTTTCTCAAACTGTTTCTAGCGTGTTTCTGTGAATCAAATTCTTCCTCAAACTGGGAGGCATCCTGCTGGTGAACCAAGGATCCACAGCGGCCGCGAATGTCTCGCCAGGCCTGGGGCTGTGCTGCCTACAGGAACCGCGGCCCCGTCAGGCCGACCGCAAGGCTGGCTGTCCAACCACAGGCCAACTCGGCAGCAGGAGGAAGGAGGAGCTGAAGGTAAAAGGCTGATCACTGTAAATATTAGAAAGTGAAGGAGAATCCCAGATGCAGAAACATGCGGTTCTCATGGACGCCCACACCATTTGTACATCTTTAGGTCGCATCCTCTTATTCAGCCAATCGCTTTCACTGTTGGCAGCAGAAAAAACAATTTCTAATCTAGTTGGATCATCACGAGACAAAGGAACAAAAAGGGAAATTCACTTTAGGAATTACATTCTAAATGCTACGAAATAACCCGACTGGAGGCAAGGAAACAAACGCCACAGGACTGCTTCTTGTCTCTGAACTGCGACTTTATCCTTAAAATGTTGTGATCAACAAACAGGTGGAAGGAACTGCTGCTTAAAACCTCTGCTCCAGAATGAGGAGAGGCGAGGAGTGTCCCTGGCGGTGAGGCTCCCACAGACCCCTGACAGGAGGTCAGTTACCCATTTCAACACCCCTGACAGAGCGCAGTGATGTCAGAACTCATTATGGCAAACCATTCTCCAAATGAATGTCCTTGCCAACCCCAGAGCAGCAGGTGCATTGGCAAGCTGTCAGAACGCGGCGTTCACCCCTGCCTTGCTGGGGCCAGCTCCCCGAGCCGGGTGCCTGTTTATCCGAGTCAGACGGTTCCCAAACAGCTCTGGTCTGACCAGGGAGAAAGTGCCAGCAGGTCCCTTGAGCACCAGCCCGTTTTCAGCCAGAACAACAGGCAAAACCCCGCTTCCACTTTCCAGCGTCACTGCCTGACCTCAACCCAGTGTCCCACGGCCTTGCTCTTGTTCAAACGCAGGCAACCTCCTGCCCGGTCTCTGTCCCTTTTCATGGGGACACTGTCTCCCTCTCCCTGACCTACTTCCATTTTTTTCCTTCTCTCCTCCCTTTTCTATCTGGTCTCTTCCTCCTCCTCCTGAACCTCCTCCTTCCAGGGCCTGTCTGCTGGCCATGAGGTCAGTGCAAAAGCATGACTTCCTGCGGACACTGGGGGGAGGGGCCTGTGGCTTGCCTCTTGACCCCCTGGGCCCTGCAAGCAGCACTTTTGAGGTCCGGCCTCTGAAGTGTACATTCTTATGAACAAGCCTGCAGCAGCGCCTGGTTCTAGAAGTTCTAGGCCTCGGAACGACATCCTCAGCTCCTGAATACCGTCACCTGGGCCTGTGTATCTAACCAAGGGGGGGATGGAAGCAGGGCTCCCAACCCCAAATCAAAACGGAAAACTCAGAGACAGAACCACGTCGCCTCGCAATGGTCGCTACTTCAACAGCAAACTCAGAATAGGGCTTTGTTCTTCCTCTTCCCGTTTCTTGGGAGTGAGAAGGGAAAACACAATTTTCCCCCTTAACTTATCCTTCTAAATTGTCGTCTGACCGCAGAGCTTGGCCCAGGCCACCAATCCACTTAAAGTCATTATCAACTACCACTGGTGTGCAAATTCAAAGTCCTGATGTGAATACTTTTGTTGTTCTGGATGTCAAATCCCTGGTCTCTTACCAACCATCACTTCTGGAACTACCAAGTGGCAGGTTATTCCAGCCTTTACTGAGCACCAAGTCCCAGGCTGAGGACACACTGGCGAAGGCCACCACCCCTGCCTCAGGGAGCTCAGAGGCTTCACCGCCCCCAAAAGAATGTAGGCGCCTTGAGGACCAGGGTCTTTGTTTTGCCCAGTAACATGTCCCAAATCCCTCAAACAGAAAGCGCTCAGTAAATGTTCATGGGGTGAATGCAATTCAGAACTGCCAGAGTCAGATGAAGCGAGGCCACAGGGGGTACATCCCCCTGCCTCACATCCCCCTTTTCGGCACTGCTCGTGACGGGCAGTAGCACAGCACAGCTCTCTCCTACACAGAATCCTCATGTGCCCGTGGTGGCTGTGCCTGGGTGCCGAGAGGGGTGACACGCGGGTACCAAGCCATGTCGCCGGGCATGCCTGGCCTGACAGCTTCGAGAAAGCTATGTAGATAATGAAGATTTCAAGACTTTAAAAAAAAATCTTCCAGACACTTCAGGGAAACTTTCCTTCCCATATGCCTTTCCACATGCTCCTCTCTCTGTCTGAAGTGTCCAAAGAAACTTCAAGTCATCCATGAAGACCCAGCTTCTCCGAGAAGACCAAAGCACCGGTCCTGGGTGCTCCCAATGGGAGCGCCTGTATTTTGAGCACAGGTGACACTTAACACACTGATTTCATGTGTATTTAGGTCTGTCTTCCAACCAAACTGTGACCATCTTGAGAGCACAGGTCCTCTTTGTACC